ATGCTTACTCCTCCTAGACACCTAAACCCACCGCTGGTATTTCCAGGGGTCTGTGTATATGGCCTGTTCACGATTCGCTTTGTGTAATATTTATGAGATCTCTAATTCATTCATGAATCCGTAGACAATTCAGTGTGTAAGTAATTGCCTAACAATTGGTTTGAAAAACGTCAGTCAGCATTTGACTTAATGATATATTGTATTTGCTGACAAGGTCATTGTATCATCCATAGAACTTGCGAAATATCGACTTCAAAAGAGACTTTTGATATCCTTGTTTCATCAACTTGTTTTTCAATAGCTTGCCTCGTTTAAGAAATTGTTCCTACGTAAAGCATACTCTTGCATATTCGAATCAACTAGGAGACATAAACTTCATATGAAGGTGATAAGATTATATTGCTACATAAATAAGGAGAGTTGAATATTGAAAAGTTGAAGTCATTACGTTTATCATAAAGTTTTGTTGTTAGGTTACCATTTACGCCTTTTTCTAGTAAAATATCTAAAGATGAAACAGATGTGTCAGACTCTGTGGTATCTTTTCTTTCAAGTTCACTGGGATATACCGTGTCGACATATGAGTGGAATCAAGTATTGTTAATTGATAAAACGATGTCGATATATCTAAATGTCAAGCTGAAGAGCACAACAAATGGTTTTCTTTTTTTTTTTTCCAAGTAGAAGTTTTTGAATAAATTGTGGTTCATATGAATATAAAACCAGGTCTGCTAATAAAGGGGCGCAATTGGTGGGAATTCCGACAGATTGTTCAAGACTTGATCTTTAAAAACTACATAGATATTGTCAAAAAGAAACTCAACATCTTTTTAATACCAATTTCGGAGTACTTGTGTGTACAATCACATGTTTTTTTAACACAATAATTTTTGTAAATGACCAATGACAAGGAAAGTAAATGTACGACTTCCATTTTTATTGAAATAGCAGCTGTCTATGATGTCAAAAGTCTGAGTACTTAATGATGGGCTATTAATATGATGTAAATTTTTTTTCTAGAATTCTAACTTTCATTTACAAAACAGAAGGTAAATTAAAGTGCTTGTATAGAAGCTGCTGGCCCTTGTTGTTTATTTGAAATATATGCCCCGATATTCTTTTATTAAGTGAACCCTGGGTTTCACCAACATAAATAAGACCACAAAGGGTACATTCTATTTCTATTCCGTAGACAACAGTTTGAACACATTTTATTGTATAAATAATATACAAATGGTTTGAACACAAGTTCTAACAACTTACGAGGTTCTCACCATAAATGGCTACAGCTGTCAAGGTCTATATATAGAAAACAAATATTGATATACAAACATGTTTGTTTTAAACATACATTAATTACATGATAAATATATAACTAACTAGAGTTTTAGTGTAAGGCTGTTATAATTAATTGAATCTGCCAGAACCTCTTATAAATTTTTTACAGATTGAAAAATATATTTATTGATTTCAACATTTTGTGACTCATCTCCCCACAGAAGTAGGTGACAATCAATAATATTCAATTTAGTGTTTGGTTTAATAAGACACAGTAGGTTTCTAAATAGTTCCTCTCTAGCATGTTGATATTTATTACATACAAAGAAGAAATGATATGGTCTTCTGGTGTACCACATGAACAATTAGGACTCTCACTAATGTTTCTTTTATAAAGATCATAATTTAAAATACAATTGTGTCGTAGTTTAGTATGTATGATACTAAGTCGTCTGTTACCATAACAGAAATAAGGAGGGGGTCTGCTGGTTTTTTATGTATTTTGTTTTTGAAACTACTAAAAGTTGAGCTGTTTCTTGTGGTAATACTTAAACTATTCCATTGGTTTACTGTATCAGGAACAAAAGATTTCGTATATATTTCGAGTAGACAACAGTAGATTTGCAGTTCAAATTTTCCATGTTTTGGTATAATTTAAGCTCTGTCCAGTAAAATTTCTAGTAAAAGAACAGCTTGTACTCAAAACATCACAGGTTTGACAGTTTTTGACAGAACATTTGTAAATAGAAGAGATGAGATCGGAAAAGGAATCTTCAAATATATACAATTTCAATTATACCAATCTTAAATTCATTTGGAGATAGGTTCAGTTATTTGAAGAGAGGAACAATTATTTGATTTATATCTATTTTCAAACAATTTACCTATCCTCAAGTCGATTGTACCTATCTCAAAATGAATTGAAGATAAGTTAAGTTCAGTTCAATAAATCTTTAATTCATTGTGAGATAGGTAAAATTGATTTGAGAATAAAAATATAATATAATTGATAGATTGATTGTTTGTTGTTTAAAATCTCATTCGAGAATTTTTCACTCATATAGAGACGTCACCATATGCCGGTGAGGGGCTTCAAATTTAAACCTATACTCGGCACTCAGAGCCATTGAACAGTGAGGGTTCTTTATCGTACCAAAGTTTACCCTGACATGGGACCTCGATTTTTAAAGTCATATATGGCGTTTTTTTTATGTGCTCTTAAATGCAGGCAATAATGAATAATTCAGTTTATGTACCTGAAGCACATTTGCAGCTCTGTTCTGCAGCTATTCGAATAATAAAGCAAATATTTGTGAATAGAGCATTTATTACAAATGCCGAATAAAATGACAAATTTTACAATTTTAGAATGCAGCAGAAGGTGGGGCCCAAAAAATATCCCACACCTTCAACAAAAGAAAACCAGTAATCTGAACAATAATAACATTGTGCATGGAGGTTTGAGGGGGTGGAGGTGGGTAAAACTTTTAAACCACGCTTTTTGGAGCCAAACGTTATTTTGATAGGGGTGAGGCTAATAGCCGTCAATAGGGGCGCATAGAAACTTAAACCCGGAAAAACCCCTCAAGACCCATGCATTCATACAACATTATTAATAAATCAAAATAACACAATTCTGTAGGCATTTAGATCACATAAATTTATTTATATACATAAATCCACTTATGTGCTCTTAAATGCAGGCAATAATGAATAATTCAGTTTATGTACCTGAAGCACATTTGCAGCTCTGTTCTGCAGCTATTCGAATAATAAAGCAAATATTTGTGAATAGAGCATTTATTACAAATGCCGAATAAAATGACAAATTTTACAATTTTAGAATGCAGCAGAAGGTGGGGCCCAAAAAATATCCCACAAGAGGGACAGTGAACTTACAGAGAAGGTTCCCTCGCCCCACCCAAAAATGTGCTTCAGTTAATTGATGTATACAGCATGAGTATGATATTAATACAAATAAATTGATATATAGATCAATGGAATACTTAAGAGGAATAATAAATGATTTAAATTTAAAATTGATAATACAAAGTTTTATCTCCTTGCATTTTACATAAAATTCATTACAACATATTGAATATTACTGAGGTTATCAGCCACACAGCATCGAAACATTATCTACATTCTCACTCGAATAATCTCTATTTTACATTCGCTCCTTGTTTTGTCCTGCCCATGTGTAACCTTGCCATGTTCGGACATTTACCGAGTATATACTAGTATATTGTCTGTTAACCGATATCAAAACATCAAGCAACAGGAATCTGCATAGCCCGCCTAATGCACTCGAAGGATAACGGAAATGATCCAAATGTTCTTGCACATATAAGTAATTCTCACATATAAACACACTAGGCTTAGTACAATGTGGTTCCACCATCCATTCACAGGTTGAAAGTTATTAACATATGTACAAAAACATTACATATCTTGTAACAAACCCTGAATAAATTCAAAGTGACATGAAAAATTAATACAAATCATCAATATCATAAACAAAGAAGAAATCTTGAGTGCCACCTCAGATAGTCACCCAATTCTTCTTGAATTTAACTGCTAATGTAGTTTGAAGTGAAGACATACAAAAATGGTGCAATGCAACTCTCTCATTCATAATAAAAGATAATTACAACATAAAATTGGCACTAAAACAATCATACATATGATTATGAAACTATTGAATTAACAATCTATTACGCGAAAAAAGGAAAATAGAGGAAACCGCCTCAGACAGAATCCCCCTTCATTTAAAATGCAATCATATAACCAAAATAAAGAATACCGTCTCAGCCAGTTATCCTTTATAATTGGAGTCTCTACCCCCTTAATAAAAACCTGTTCACACTAAAAGGTTGGAAACATTGAGACCCTAATGTATCTCTGAAATGACTCCGAGTGCCACCGTCCCATGACTCTTATTTGTGAATCTGAAAAACCCTGTAAATGTGCCTGGGTTGCTGCTCCTATTCTGAAACTATGTGCCTTAAATTTGTTAGAATCAAGCTTGGCAAATCTAAGCGCTGATCTCAAAACCTCACAAAATTCTGTGCGCGAGATGGGTCTTCCTGATCTGTAGCAAAATAGGGGTCCTTCTTCTGCACCTCGCACCTCCAAATAATTTCGCATAGCTTGCACAGGACAAAAGCTGCAGTTGGGTTGAGGATTTATTTCCAGCTGGACAGGTTTTTTACCTAGATTGTGTTTGAAGTTGATCATTGTAACAACCATGTAGACTTGTTTTTTGTCATGCCTGAAAGAAACATTTCTTCGAAACAACAAGTTTGGGTTAGAGCCCGAACGAACTGTGATTTCCCCCACTCTTAGAAAAGCATAAAATGCTAAAAGAAACATTGCCATGTACAAACATGCTTGGTACTTAGAATTGGCTACATGTGGTATTGCAACCAGAAGCTTTCCAAGAATATCCAAAGTAATAGGTTGTCAGATATCAGCCGAATTGACAAGCCGTTTTGCCCCACTTACCATTTTCTTGATTAAGAAATGATTGGAGAGATCTGGGGCATTTGTCATTTTGAAATAGTAAGCCCATGCTGCCAGGTAAGTTGAGATAGAGCTTGGTGCTTTTCCTAAACCGAATAGGTATGACACAAAACACATAACCTGTCCAAGGGAAACCTCTTTAATGCAATCAGTCTTGTAGTAACTCTGAATGAAACCACTAAAACAATTTAGAGCCTGCCTGTAAACTTTCTTTGTGTTAGGAGCCAAAGCTGCATCTATTAAACTACATGCTGTGTTTTGGAGAGTTGCAAAAGATGGATCGGTATCCTTGTAGGCTTGGCCTCCATATCCACAGACACCTCTTTGAATTTCTCGATCTGTAAGCGTGAAAGTAAGTCTGGTAAAATATTGAACATTCCTGGAATGTGTTCAGCCGAAAATAGAATATTGTATGTCATAAGTGCCAAAACTAATCTTCTCACCAAAATCATGATTTTTGAATCTTTCGATGTTTGCGAGTTTACAATGTGAACAACTGCTGCATTATCAGAATGGAATATGACACACGAATTCTTTAAGTTAGATCCCCATAATTCAACAGCTAACACAATTGGGAATAATTCCTTGAGGGTAATATCATAATCCTTCATATTTTCTGGCCAAGACCCATAGAACCATTTCTTTTCAAATACAGCTCCAAACCCTAGAGAACCCGCTGCATCAGTGTAGAGATGTATTTGTTTGGATGTCACCCATACATGTTTAAATAATAATGACTTCCCATTGAAGTGATCTATAAATAATGACCAAGCAGCCAAATCCCGCCTACTCTCTCTAACCATGTCTTTGTGATGGTGAGGCTTAGATTGGCCTTTTGTTAGGTCAATGAGCCGCCTTAAGAATGTACGCCCTGGCACAACCACCAGACAAGCAAAATTAAGCAGTCCTATTAAGGATTGAAGTTCTCTAAGGCGATCCTTTCGCTTAAATTTCATTGCATCTATAGCTTGTTTTAATTTCTCCAATTTCTCACAAGGCAACCTAATTTCCATAGCCAATGTATCAATTTCAATACCAAGAAATACCAATTTTGTAGTTGCCCAAGCAGTCTTTTCTTCTTTTAAAGAAACACCTAGACTTTCACATGTAAGTTTGAACACCTGTAAACTTTGATTACATATACCTGATGCAGGTGGATCAATAAATAGAAAATCGTCCAACACATGAGTTAAGTGAGGAATATGTCCCTTAACCTTACCAATCCATTCTAAGGCCGTAGAAAATTTTTCAAAAATAGCACAGGAACTCGCACAACCCATCGGCAAACATTTATCATAAAAAAAGAGACCTTCCCATTGAAAGCCCAGTAATTCGTGATCCTCTCTGCGAATAGGTATAATCCGAAAAGCTGATTCTACATCTGTTTTGGCCAAAAGGCAACCTTTCCCCATTAAGACAATAATATTTACAGCATCATCTAGAGTAGCATATTGAACTTTAGTGAATGTATCTGGAATAAAATCATTGATAGAATTTTTTTTCTGGAAAAGATAAATGGTGTATGAGTCTAAATTGACCGTGTTCTTTCTTTGGTACAATACCAATCGGGGAAATTTGAAGATTTTCAAAGGGGGGTGAAACAAAAGGCCCAGCAATTCTATGGGCATCAAGCTCTTTCTGTAGCTTGTTGCAAACAATGACTGTGTTGCGCAAAGCAGAAGAGAGATTCCTAGATGCTCTGAAATATCTCGGACCATGATAGTGTAAGTCGAATCCATACTTAAATCCTGAAACCAAATAATCAGAAATTGTTGCATCATAGCCTAGTAACAGATATTGCAGGACATTAGGAATAATAGGGGTCACAACCTCATTGTTGTTTTGCTGTTTTGCCTGCGGGATACTGCACTTGGCTTCTATTAACTGTTTGTGCTCGGCAATTTGTTTTAGGGTGGTTTTTTCTACATCCTGCACAAATGTGTTGAAATTTGCAGTTTTCAAGTTTGCAACTCCCATCCCTATTATATGTCCAGCAAATTCCTCTGGGGTACTGTTTTTCCCCAAGAATCTTTGTCCAAACCTTGATCGGAAGGGACGAAAAGGCTGTTTAGTTTCCTCCCTAGATCTCTGTGCCTGAAGAATGAATTCAACATTTAGCTTTCCCCAAGGTGTACCCCTATTTTGCCTATCCATCCTAATTTGTTTATCATATGTTTGCCAAGAAACATTTCCAGATGATGCCATATCACGAACTGTCTCTGCATGTTTTAATAAATTTGGTGTTTCGTTTGGAAATTTTTCAGCATAGACAGAAACAAAACGCAAAAATGCTGTGGTCCACTGGTATATGGTATTAATTGTTTGTTTTGCCTTTTTGGGTACTACTGAAATGTTAGTATTCTTCCCTAATTTAAATGTGTAGTCATTATTTTCGGTGCAAGGAATTAAATTGTCAGGAAGTAGTGCTGCGAGGTCAATATACTGATCTTCCCATATCTTTTGCTTAAGCTTTTGTGGAATCATTGCCGAAATAGGAGTTGACCAAGTAAAAGTATCAATTGCCTCACTTGAGGCATACTCATCATCTGACCCTTCTATCTCCTTAAAGGTAATCTCTGAGTCGGACTCATCGTCACTATCCGAAGCACCTCCCCCTGTGGTATCAGTGGTTTTGTTCCTTTCATCCATGACCTCCAATACAGCTTGCGTGACCTTCCTAACCAAAACTTCCTCCTTATGTTCACCATCATCATCAACCCTCTGTGCCTTTCTTGTCTTTGCCCTAGAACCTGTACCTCTATTTGATACATCGGTACTCTTTCTTTTGGTACCAGTTTTGGCCCTAGGCATTTTTCTGTAAAAAACTTCATAAGCAAAACTCTTTATGACAAAATAGTAAATGGGTCAGACAGTCTGAAGTTTACCACTGAAAATGCAATGCGTGCAAAGGATTTAAAACTTACATAAATAGATGCTTCATGAATAAAATCATTCATTATAATGATTATTGTGTTATATGTACTTATAACAATATAAATATATGTACACCCACATACCATTTTATGTATGTATCTCACTCTCAAAACCACACATAAAGGATTCATGAATGTATGATACTGTCAGAAGACAAGACATGCCATGATGGACCCTAACATCTACCACTTCCTTGTGAAACCATAAATAACAAAAGCATAATATGCACCCAACTCTACAAGGCAGAGCTTGTTAAGTACCTCCAACTACACAGGCTATGTCAACTAAAATGTCATACCAAACACACCATGACCATATTGCCTAAGCATACATGCCAAGTCTTGCTAAGGATGTGTATAACCAATCATGCAGGGTATTTAAAATAAAAAAGTCCAATCATATATAATACATAACCATAATATGTTCCCAACCGTATAGGGTAAATCTTGCAATTAGTATATAAAATCCTACAGAATATATCAAATAAAATGTCTAATCAAACATAACAAGAGCATAATGTGTGTTTTACCCTACAGGGCAAAACTTGTTAAGTATATTCAACCGTACAGATGCATCAAATAAAATGTCCAACCATACAGGACAACTCACTGTACAAGGATACATAAAGCCCAACCATATAAGGCTATAGTATTTATTGCCCAACCATACAGGGCAAAACACCATGGCGCCCAACCATACAGGGATACATAAAGCCCAACCATATAGGGCTATAGTATTTATTGCCCAACCATACAGGGCAAAACACCATGGCGCCCAACCATACAGGGATGCATATAGCTCAACCATATAGGGCTATAGTATTTATTGCCCAACCATACAGGGCAAAACACCATGGCGCCCAACCATACAGGGATGCATATAGCTCAACCATATAGGGCTATAGTATTTATTGCCCAACCATACAGGGCATATCACCATGGCGCCCAACCATACAGGGATACATATAGCCCAACCATATAGAGCTATAGCATTTATAGCCCAACCATACAGGGCATAACATCATGGTGCCACATCATAAAGGAATACATATAGCTCAACCATATAGGGCTATAGTATATATTGCCCAACCATACAGGGCATATCACCATGGCGCCCAACCACTGGGATACATATAGCCCAACCATACAGGGCTATACATATAAAAGCCCGACCATACAGGGCCTATCACCATGGCGCCCAACCATACAGGGATACATATAGCCCAACCATATAGAGCTTTAGTATTTCTAGCCCAACCATAATCAGATCATGCGGGACAAAACATGTAGTATATACTGCCCAACCATATAAGGCATAATACCATGGTTGTCTGTATCGGTCCAATTGACCATACCCTCATATAAAAAAACACCAGATTTCTATCTTTATTTTTAAATATAAATCATCATTTTTTTTTTTTATACAAACCATAGAAACACCTTAATCTCCCTTAAGAGGTCCAGAAACAAACAACCATAATCTGCATTGTGAACACCTGCTTAAAACAACCCATTACACTTTCATGCATCTAACCCTATGGCAAATAATGAAAACAAAATGATCGACTGAATGTAACTTTTACGAGGTGAACAACAAATGACAATATACTCCAGTTTTATGCGTTTGCAGTGCACCAATTTATATATATATATATATATATATATATATATATATATATATATATATATATATATATATATATATATATATATATATATATATATATATATATATATATATATATATATATATATATATATATATATATATTTTAATAAAATTTAAACTTAATCATAGTAGATAAACATTGGTCAATTAGTTGCATTGCCTGATGTACCAACAACATAAGTTCATGATAAAACAAGGACATTAAATGCAAGCTACACCATGTTGATCCCAACACAATAAATTGATTTGTATTCAAGACAATACATTGTATTTGTATTCAAGTTTTATACAACTACTTACAAGCTTTTAAGGGCTGAAACAACTGATGCCCTGACACTGTTGTAATATTTTGGGTACCCGTATGTCTCATTTAGGTGCACACCATCTTCACAGTACACAATTTTCTTATTTTCTTGTGACCAAAATCCAGAGTGCCGCCAGAACCTGACACCAGAGCCAAAATCTCTGTCTAACCTATCATTCAAAAGCCTATTAACCACATCCACCCTGGCATTGAACCATTCAACGTCTACTGAAAATCTGCCAGGTTTACCTGGTGGTTTTCTATGCAGAATTTGATAAACACATACTCTCTGCACTCCACGACCCTGGAGCTTCTCGATGAATGAAACTATTTTTTCAACCAGGTCGTATACCTGAACATCTAAGTTACACAAATCGTTCGAACCTATCTGTAGACACACCAGAGCGGGTTTAAATCTATCAACTTCTCGTAAGCCCCTTACCGATAGCCTATCGATTGTGCAACCCGAATATCCTCTGTAATATACTTTTTCCCTGAGATTCAGACCAAGATTGACCTTTAAATGCTCCGAACGATTCATGAACCGCTGCAGACGCACGATAAATGAATGACCAAGAATCAATACACTATTCTGCATGATTTACACAATATAAATACTCACACAAAGATAAAAACTTGTAAAACTTTTAAACCACGCTTTTTGGAGCCAAACGTTATTTTGATAGGGGTGAGGCTAATAGCCGTCAATAGGGGCGCATAAAAACTTAAACCCGGAAAAACCCCTCAAGACCCATGCATTCATACAACATTATTAATAAATCAAAATAACACAATTCTGTAGGCATTTAGATCACATAAATTTATTTATATACATAAATTCACATAAGTTCAGACTAACTATAAAATTAAAAAGATCTTTCTATTTGTTTTATTACTTTATATAAAGATAGGACTTTCCTGTAAAGTACACAATTTAAATCAATCAGGATTCAAAGATATTAGAAATTTAAAACATTAACCGATTTATTTACCGACTCCGCATTTAATTAACAGACAGTTTAAAATCAATTTAACTATGGAAACATGAGGTTATTCAAGTTCAAAGTCGGTGAAAATTTTAATTTGAATGTAAATAACATGTATCATGTTTATCTACACTCAATCTCGTATTTTTATTTTTTAGCTCAGATACGCCACATATAGCTTTAAGGTCTCATCCAAAAAGACCCGCGACTTTCACTTCTCGTGCCGAGCACTTGGGGAAGGAACAGTCTACCTATGTTAACGTCTTAGGTTTTATGCGGCACGGCGAACGAAAATCGAACCAAGGCCTCCCGATCACGAAGCGAGCACCCTACCACTAGGCTACCGTGACCGATTTAACAGAATTGAAGACAGGTAAGAATAGCAAGAATTAAAGATAGGTATAATCGATTTAAAGATAGATGCAATGCAATTAAACCTACACATAATTGGCCTGTAACTATCTTCAAATCCTTTGTGGAGATATTTTAATTTTACCCATCTTTAAGGCAATTTAAATAATTCAATTTAAATCAATTGAAATAATTCAATTGAACCTATCTGTAATGGCACTAAAGAGGTGTAAATCATTTAAACCTAGATTGAATTATTTAAAGATAGGTGTCATTTTCTTTACACTGATTTGTAATTCATTTGGACCTATCTTTGATTTAATTGTACCTATCTTCAATTGCAGATCAAAAAATTAAGACATTACTCACATTTACGGGGTGGACACCTCGCGGCCTCTGTGTCACTGCTAACAACGATGTACTAGTTTCCATGTTCAGGCAAGGTGAACCAGAAAGGTTGTTCGATATTCCGGAGTAACTGTTATTCAAGAATTCTCTCGAGATTCTCAGGGAAACTTCCTCTTTCGGGATGCCTCTTTTGTTTGCGAAAATACAAATACAGACGTTTGCGTTAGGGATGTAGAAACACGCTGCGTTGTTGTCGTCAAAAGCACAGGGGTCCCTCGATATAAATACAGCGGGCGTTCCCATTCAAAGTTTGAGCCTGGTTGTGTTTCATGTGATAGCCAAAGTCACATTCTGATTGCAGACAAAAATCAGCACTGTATACATATAATAGACAAAGACGGAAAATTCTTATCGCTCATCAACAAGCATTTTATTAAGCTTCCCGTAGGAATAAACGTGAGCGAAGATGACACACTGTATGTGGCTGAGCGGAAGTCTGGGAAAATCAAAGTCATAAAATACCTCAGCGATTAGTTAGGCATTGTAATCCTTTTAAAGGGTTGTGAAAACCGTTATTTTTTTTTTTTAATTCTTTGATTGAAATTTGGATTTGACAGTGTTTACTTCACTAGAAACAAAATATTTGATTATAAACAAAATATCTGTACAGATTTTAGCTCACCTGAGCCAAAGACTTAAGGTGAAATATCCCTCTGCTCTATAAACTTCATCAATTTCTTTTTAAATTCCCAACATTGATTTTCACCAACAACAATATCATTATATTCAAATGGAAAATAGTTTGAAGTATGAAGCATTGCTTTCTTTTTCAGAAATGAATATTATGTCTAATCACGATATGAAGAAAATTTGATATGGTGAATAGAAAGATCAATAATTTATCTCAACATGAGATATATATATGAAAATAATATTTACTGTCACACCTATTTAATTCATATTAGAAAACTCAATGAAGTGTTGCTTTTTAAATCAGAATATCGCATTGTTTTTTGTGGTTGTAAAATAAATGCATCCATCTACAAGAGTTATCTTTCCATCTAGTGTAGTTATCTTTCTTCAGAATATGCTTTGAGAGAAAATATATTAATAAATTGATTATAAAAATTCAGCATCTAATAGAAAATAGAAATCAATATATGTAACATAGTTCAAATTTGATAGAAGTGACTGTATAATTATCCTCATTATTAAACTCTGGTAAGACAATTCATTGGATTGCTTGGAATAACTTCTTTGGAAAGTTATCTCTCTTATCAGAAGACATTACACCTTAAGTGAGCTTTTCTCATCAAAAATTGTCCGTTGTCGGTCGTTGTCTAAAATATTTTAAAATTTCACCTTCTTCTCCAGAACCAATGGACCAATTTCAAACAAACTTAACACAGGGTATCCTTGAGTAAAGAGGATTCACTTTTGTTCAAATGAAGGACCACACCCTCTTACAAGGGGAGATAATTACGATTTCGTGAAAATTCGGCGGCATATTTAGAAAATCTTTTTCTCATGAACTGCTGGGCCAGAAAAGAGAAAACTTAGTTGAGAAATTCATTATTATCATTATCATTACAGATTCAAATTTGTTCATACCATGACCCCGGATGTAGGACAGGGCGACTACAGGGGGCAAAGTTTTACATAGGAATATGTAGGAAATATCTTTAAAATTTTTCTCAAGAACAGCAAAGCCACTAATATAGAAGCATCCTCAGGTATAGTGAAGATTCAAGTTTATTCAAATCAACACCCCAGGGGTAAGATGTGACCACAACAGGGGATCAAAGTTTTACATCGGAATATTTAGAGAAAAAAATCTTTTAAAGCACAGCATAGCCATTATTAGTTAGTCATATTAAAACAGAATCATCATCAGGTAGATTCAAGTTTGTTCAAAATTTGACCCTCGGGGGTAGAACGGGGCCACAAGAGGGGATCAACGTTATACATAGAAATATATATTGGAAATATCTATAAAAATCTTGATCTCAAGAACAGCAAACTCATGATCAATCATTTTTATATGGAATTATCCTCAGGTAGTGTAAATTGATGTTTGTACAAAACATAACCCCTGGGTGTAGGGTGGGGCAGATATGGGGGATTAAAGTTTTACATAGGAGGAATATATATGAGAAGTCTTTAAATATCATGACCCTCAGGACTAGGGTTGGGCCGCGATGAGCAATCAAAGTTTCACATAGGAATACATTTGAAAAATTTTAATAGTCTTCTTTTCAAGAACAGCAAATTCATGATTTGTCATATTTATATGGAAGTATCTTCAGGTAGTGTAGACTGAAGTTTGTTCAAATCACGGACGTCACGTGCCTGCCTTCAATAGATTGATTGATAGATTATTGTTTAACGCCGAGTCGGTAGTATTTCAGCCATATATACATGCGACAATATGAAAAGCAAAATTTGGACGGCAACATAAAGGTGACCACGACATTATTATCCAAATTCAAAGAAAAACTCCTGCCAGCGCTATTTTTGCTTTTAATTACCGATTTGGTAATTTGGAAATGGTGCCATTGCTTAAAATGGCACGCAAGGTCATCGATTTTAATAAAACTCGCTCAATGTTAAAGTTTGATACCAAAACATATATACCAAACAAAATCGTGTTTCTATCTGTCTAGGTTGCCATGGTAACGAATGGAAAAGACTGAAAAAAAAATTTTCAGCTGTTTTGATCTTTATTGAGCCTTAGTAGAGACTAAGAAATCCAAAATAACAACTCTTCAAAAACATAGCACTTCAGTCGCCACTTATGCTATAAAATTATTTAGAGTATATTCTTAAGTTAATGAAACCCTGGATATATTTGACATACATATTTTAAAAATGCTGAAAAACGGTCAATATTTACTAATGTTAGGTGTTTAAGTATAATACAACTAGAGGCGGAAATATGGGGAAAACATGCGGTTTTCGGTGATTAGGAGATCTTAAATAGAACTTTTTCTGTGAAAATATAAAATAAACTGCTTCTACATCCGTACGTGGCGTTACTTAATTGAACGACACTCGTAATTCTATATTTTACACAAATTACATGTAAAAACATGTATCTGTCAAATCGAGCATGAAATGCTCAGGTGAACATGTAGCCCATGGGCCTCTTATGTAAGAATTTCATATACTAAATTCATGACAAGTCTGAAATTACAGAATTTAATGATGCAAATTCTGTTCAAAAAGAATTTTTGAAAGATTTTTATTTTAAAAAAAATAAAATAAAAGAGGGGTGTAAATTTTTGGCCCTTAATTGGAACCTGTTGATCGAATTTATTGCCAAAACAGCAAATATTATTATTTTAGTGCATAGCGTTTTTTATGAACTTCGAAAAAAATTATATGCCAACATGACAACTTTCGGAAATGAATGAATTGTGCAAACTTTCAGTAATTGGGTAGGAAAAACCCTTTCCGAACTCACATTTGTCAAAATCAGTCTCCACCCACAATTAATATTTTTTCCTGCCATATTTGGAAAAGATAAAGTTATGAAAAAAAATTGCAACGCAAATTTATGTAAAAAAATAAAATTGTATTAAATTATAATTACATGTATAATTATTTTAAAATTACACCGCGTTTGGCGGGCTCTTTCCCATCTTTGTTTTTTGACACAATAAATGGTATAAGGGGTCAACCCCCCCCCCCCCCAAACCTCCAGAAAATGCGGGTGGTTCGTCGACCCGAGTGGTTAAGATCCAAAGTGGTTAAGATCCAAATACGTGTTCGACTTGAGTGGTTTCGTTCCGAATCAAAGAGATATACAGTTTATAGATAATTTAAAATTCTTTTATTCAATTTCTTGTCTGCAAATGTAAACTTATTTTCATACAAATAACAAATTCTTGAATCTTTAGTTTCTCCTTCACAGCAGTTTTTGTGAGGATTAAAGAACTATGTGTGAATGTTATTCCGAACAAAAACCAGTGGACTAACACATATTCACATACAAATATAATTTCTAGCATAATAGGTTCAATTTCTGATTGTTTATATCCTCCTTTTTCCGAATGGGTTTTTGAAAACGTAAATAATATAGATTGTCGTTAGTATTCCTTAGATGTACAATTATTACTCTATGTATTATATGTCGCATCAAGCGCTGAGTAAAATGACCCCTCAATACTCAGTGACCATTAGTTAAAAATACATGTCTAAATCTACAGGTTTCCACCGGCGGTTAGTGGCAACCCAATATGAGTGAAAAATTCTCGAAGAGACGTAAAGCAATCAAACAACCAAAAAACGAAAATTTAACATCTATGGAAGTTAGTTGATTATAATATATTCACTTTAAACTGGTCATCTTTCAGGAATATTAACCTGATCACTGAACTGAATTAGTAAAATGCACGCTTCTCTCGACTCTCTTACAAATACCGTCTAGTGATAACTGTCACTGACTACGAACAGATTCTGCAATAATCTCACAGATTCTCTCAGATATTGTGTAAGGTAATGTGACTGAACATTTATTATATACAACATCTACAGATACCACATGAAGTTATCGACCAGTTTTCTTTTTACATCCCTGCTGGGGGGGGGGGGGTGTTATAAATTGATAGGAATGTCCGTCCATACTTCCTTCCGTTACACTTGGGGAAGCCATCCCCTCATAAACTACGTAATTTAATTGCAATTTAAAGAACCTTTCACGAAATCTTTTTGACATATGTAGTCAGTGGTATTGCGCATCATCAACACAATTCATGTCACACATTTTACAAATTCTTTCATTTCTTTTAAGGGTGGTTTTCTGTCGTTTAGTGTTTATAATTTTCTACCATCTTTCACTTTCAATTCTGAGATTATTTGCGCTTTTTAGCTCACCTGAGCTGAAAGCTCAAGTGAGCTTTTCTGATCACCCATTGTCCGTCGTCCGTCCGTCCGTATGTAAACTTTTCACATTTTCATCTTCTTCTCAAGAACCACTGGGCCAATTTTAACCAAACTTAGTACAAAGTATCCTTGGGTGAAGGGGAGTTTCAATTGTTAAAATAAAGGACCAAGTCTCCTTGCAAGGGGAGATAATCAAGAAAAGACAAAAATAGGGTGGGGTCATAAAAAAATCTTCTTCTCAAGAACCACTGGGCCAAAAAGCTGAAACTTATGTGAAAGCATCCTCAAGTAGTGCAGATTTTAAATTGTTCAAATCATGACCCCCAGGGGTAGGGCGGGGCCACAATAGGGAATCCAAGTTTTACATTGAAATATATAAGAAAAATCTTTAAAAATCTTCTTCTCAAGAACCACTGGGCCAGAAAAGCTGAAACTTATGTGAAAGCATCCTGTGGTAGTGTAGATTCTAAATTGTTCAAATCAGGACCCCCGGGGGTAGGGCTGGGCTACAATAGGAAAGCCAAGTTTTACATTGAAATATATAGGGAAGATCTTTAAAAATCTTCTTCTCAAGAGCCACTGGGCCAGAAAAGCTGAAACTTATGTGGAAGCATCCTGGGGTAGTAAAGACTCTGAAGTGTTCAAATCATGAACCCCAGGGGTAGGGCGGGGCCACAATAGGTATTACAAGGGGGAAATCTGGTAAAGAACAGCATGGCCAAAATTACTCAGGTGAGCGATGTGGCCCATGGGCCTCTTGTTTTAAATTAACATTTAATTTTTCTTTGTTCAAAACTTCTTAAAAATAAATATTTCAATACTTCAATGTCAAAACTGTTTGAATGAAGAAATATGTCATAAGTTTACCCTCTTCAGGCCGACAACCCTCTTCTCTTTTTGTATGTATAATTGTCGAAAATCATCTCCACAATTTTTTTTAGATCTTTCTTTAAACTTTATATTCTATAATTTAACAGTGGGAGTAAGGAGCTAAGGAGAATTACATCAACCTGATGGTATAAATAGACAAACTTGAAATGAGGTCAAGGTCTCTTGAAAAGTAAGCTCTAGGAAAAAGTATACAATATACATAGATATAACAAAGACTAAGTGGAATGGGTGGAATACGTGTTTGAGATGAGCGAAGACAATGATAGAAGACGCCTATACAGAGAAGATACTTAGTAAGTTTACATTACTTATTGTACCACTAGGGGTAAACAGGCGCAAGTAAAACTTTTAAAGAAGGAACCACATAGCTCAGGTCGTCTCTATGTATGGCAACCTTTTTGGAGCTATACACAATAAATACATACACGTAGGCGTGATAAATGCTAACTTAGTATTGTAGAAATGAATATAAGACTATTTTTTATTTGTATTTAGCAAATTTTATGTATGATGAATTTTCTTTAAATAAAAAAGAATATAAGCTAGACTATAGTTTGTGTATATATGTATCGTCAATTCTCATTATATCGCGGGTTCTATTGTATCGCGGTATACTCCAAAAATTATAGGATATAAAGCTCATATCCTTTTCGTTGATGGACTATCTGTCTGTCGTCTGATTGTTGACTTTTGTGATGATTAAAAAGCATGGAACACCCGTTTGAAATTTTGTAAAATGTAATTTTACAGATTTCAATTTCCGTTTTTATTTTATTTAGACCATTGAATTTATATCCTAGTAAAACCGATAATAAAGTTCATATTTTGAAAGTCTTAAGTTTGTATTATTGTTCAGTTTTCATGTAGATTACATCGTAAATTTGAAAATAAAAATTGTTCTTTGTGACAGCGCCAAGCTTCCATGTTTTTCAGTAACAATGAGACTCTCCACTTTAGGAGGTAAATAAGACTTCCTGTTTTAAAAATAGACCACAAATTAAACGAAGCAAGCGTAGGAAATAATTAGCCACGAAAAAGTTAGATCATTGTTAGGTTTATGAATAGCACTTGATGAAAAGTTAAAGTAAGAATTTTGAATAACTTTTTTACGCAAGAAAATAAGCACCGCGATATTACATGTATGAGATACCAGTATATTACTAAATGATTGATTGTATGCTGTTTTACGTCCCGTTCGAGAATTTTTCACTTATGTAGAGACGTCACCATATACGGGTGAAGGGCTTCAAATTTAAACCTTTGCTCGGCACTGAGGGCCATTGAGCAGTGAGGGTTCTTTATCGTGACACGGGTCCTCGGTTTTAAAGGTCTCATCCGAAAGACTCGCAACTTTCACTTCAAAGTGCCGAGCGCTTAGTGAAGGAACAGTTGCTTTTTTATCGACTTAGGTCAGTCGCTGCCGTGATTCGAACACACGACCTTCCGATCACGGAGCAAGCGCTCTACCGAGTGAACTACCGTGACGGTGCAAAATAATTATGTCTACATGCAAAATGATTATGTGGACATGCAAGTTACCAATCTTTTTAGGGAGTCTGATTTTAACATCGGCAAATTTACTTATTTACACCACTATCTGACATCAATTGTCCAAGACGCAACATAATCATGTTACGTTGTCATGCTACTTATTTATGTCAACATGCGAGATAGTTATGTAGACATGTGACTTATTTATGACAACATGCAAGATAATTATCTTTACATGCCAGTTAATTATGTCAACATGCAAGATATGTATGTTGACATGCAACTTATTATCTTGCATGTTGACATAAATACCTGGCATGTTAAGATATAACTCGAATGTTGTTATGATTAAGTCGTATATCAACATAACTATGTTGCATGTTCACTTAATTAACTCGCATGTTGACATTAATGTCTCATGTCTTCTTAATAAACTCGCGTTTTGTCATAAATAAGTTGTATGTCTACATATTTATTATCTCGCATGTTGGCATAAGTCGCATGTCAACATAATTATGTTCATCTTGAACGTATGCTGTCATATTCTGGAGTTAGTAGGTAAATTTACCAACATTAAAATCAGATTCTGTATAAAGGTTGGTAATTTGCATGACAACATAATATAATTTTTCATGTAGACATAATTATCTTTGCATGTGCACAGACTTTTCTCGCATGTTAACATAATTTATCTTGCATGTAGGTGGCAGAAAACAAGCCACCATATTATTGCGATTTTACTGATATTTCTAACCATTGTAGTGCTGTCCTAAAAGTATGGCGGGGATTGAGTTTGCCCAGGACATCATCAGGTGCGACATCTGTCCTGCTTACGTGGAGAGAGGAGCAGCGGAAATTTTCTGTAAAAGCTGCAAGAAACACCTGTGTCAGTCCTGTGTTTCCAGACACGTGTTGTCCTCACCCGTCGATCACACAGTTGTGCAATATCTTACTCACAGAAGAGTTAGAACTGATTTTTCCAACAGTAATTCAAACATTAGAGAGTGGGTTTGTACCTTTGTTTAGAGTAGTAAAGTCACGTGATGGTAGCATATGGACCTTGGGGGATATGAATACAGTGAAGCAATTGGACATGAACTGAGTAGTCATGGAAACATATAGCAGTGGATCCATTCATTCGCCATGTCAAATCGCACTGAACAAAGGAGGGGAACTCTTCTTTACTGTAACGACGGCCAGAGTTTTAAATGTAATTAAGAATAAAAAGATCAAGACAATTTTCACATATATTGGGTGGATACATCGAGGTCTCTGTGTCACTGCTAATGACGATGTACTAGTTTCTATGTTCAAGCACGGTGAACCAGACAAGGTTGTTCGATATTCCGGAGTAACTGTTATTCAAAGAATCTCACGAGATTCTCAGGGAAACTTCCTCTTTCGGGATGCCTCTTTTGTTTGCGAAAATGCAAATACAGACATTTGCGTTAGCGATGCAGAAACACGCTGCGTTGTTGTCGTCAAAAGCACAGGGGTCCCTCGACATAAATACAGCGGGCGCTCCCACTCAGAGTTTGTGCCTGGTTGTGTTGCATGTGATAGCCAAAGTCACATTCTTATTGTAGACAAAATTCAGTACTGTATACATATAATAGACAAAGACTGAAAATTCTTATCGCTCATCGACAAGCATTTTATTAAGTTTCCCGTAGGAATAAACGTGAGCGAATATGACACATTGTATGTGGCTGAGCGGAAGTCTGGGAAAATCAAAGTCATAAAATACCTGAGCGATTAAATAGACATTGTAATTCCTCAATGTTAAAGGGATGTGAAAACAGTTTGAATTTTTAAAAAATATTCTTTGATATTTGGATTTAATTGTACTTCACTAGAAACAAAATATTTATTTTAAACAAAATATCTGTACAGTTTTAAGAGGTATTCTTTGTAAGCACTTTGGCCTTTTTTGTTTTGCCTCGGACAATAATGACTTTGCCATTGGCTAATGGACGTCACGTGTCTGCCTTCAATATTTCTTTGGATTGAATGATTATATTGTTCAACTCCGAGTCCGCAGTATTTCAACCATATATCGGCGATTATATTTCTTTAGACGGTAAATAGCAAAATTTGGACGGCTTCATAAAGATAAACACCAGATTATGTCATCTAGATTTTAAAGAAAATCTTGGTTTTAAAATAAACCGACCCTTACCGATTTGGCAATGGTGCGATAATTTAGATTGGCACTCATGGTCATCGATTTTAATAAAGCTTTGCTCATTGTTAAAGCTTGATACCAAATACATTTATACCAAACAAAATTGTGTTGCTGAATGTCTTGGTTGCCATGGTAACGGAAGGAAAAAATTGAAAAAAAAATTAGATATATTCAGCTATTTTGATCTTTATTGAGCCTTAAAGGCGTACAACACAGTGGATTCGTTAACTCCTGCGATTTTAATTAAGGTATGTCACTCGTCAGCTTTTAAGAAAAGTTCAGTCAGAACCTCTAACTTCAAAACTATTTATTACAACTCAATATTTATAACATATTTGAATTAGACATCGCAAATTATACAACATTCAATTTAAAAACGGCTCACAAATTCATAAAGAAATAAGATTTATGAGAGACTATTTCTTGTGGTGGAAGAATATTTAGAAGAAAATTCTTCAAATCTACATATTTATTGAATTTCATATCTTGGAACATTAACCCCACATATTTTTACTCAGAGAATATTTTCCGTTATCATATGTTAGGAATATAAAATGTAGGTTTCAATTTATATTGTTAGAACAAATTTTACGCATTCACTCAACAGACTTTGCCTAGAAATGAAGATCTACTAAAGAGGTCAAGATAAAATTTACACTTTTTTTTTTTGCCTAAAAATCGCAAATTTTGACCAAAATCTCAAAATTTACATCACTGACCCCTACCTTTTCTTTCATAATTTTACCCCCAACCGATCAGCACTAAAGTCATAAAAAGTTTGATACAAGAAAATATTTTATTGCCTATTTAGATTTTTTATACCTCAAATATGAGACTTTTTAAGTGCAAAAAGGTCACACAATAATTTATGCGCATTAATTTGCCTGACTTGTTCAATGATAAATATTATCCAAACTATTTTTCGTAAAATGAGATTATATTTATTGCCATGATTACATCTGATAAAATATCATAAAGCGATTAACCAAAGAGTTACAATTTAAGTGCAAAAAGGTCAAGTTCATTGTACCGTTGCTCAGTAATATGCACACTGACCCCCTATTTTCTATAGTCATACACATGTCCTATAAATAGCACATCATATGTAATGTTTTGCTCCATGTTTGTGACGTCGCAATGTGAAAATGACGTCAATATGTAAGATGACTTGTGACAAAAACTAGATGACTCAGTCGTACTCGAGCAACGAACGGCTGTAAATTTAACGTATATCCTGGAAATTCCTTTGCAGTATCATATAATAATTTGTACAAGGTTTATGAAGACAAAAACCTTGCCAGAAGTTCAATCATTAATTGGATTGATTACTTTAGAGAAGGAAGGGAGATGGTTAAAAATGATGTTTGTTCTGTTGCCCAGTGAAGGCAAGCTGGGGAAGAGATGTGTCCTTAGTTGAGCAATTTGTTATGAAAGATCGCCCAATTTGTTATGAAAGATCGCCAAGTTACAGTTAGAAAAAAGAATTGACTATCTTAACAATAATATGATAATTAAATCCCTAAAATATCGTTTACTTTAGACTTTAAACATATCAGATATGATAAAAAGAAGGCGTCCATACTTTAACCACATTGTATAAAAGACGCTCTTAAGACAGATGACTCGGGTTGTGATGGTCACCATTCTCATTCTGGGAGAGGATAAACTTATCCACCCATCCTATTGCCGAAATTTGGCCATTTCTGACAAATGGAATGTTCTTGTTATAAAAAAAAAATAACTTGCATGGTAAAAAATTTAAGACTCGGAAAAATCTTTTAGCTTCTGTGAACAGAACGCTACGGAGTATGTCACGTGACCGCCTGGATCACGTGTTTCGTGCATGGACAGAACAGTTTCAGATGTGCATTAAAATTGGAGAGTACTACTTTAAAAAGTAATGAACACAGAAACCTATTCTATTTCTTTTATGGAAGTTATTCAATTAGTTTGCGAACTTTTTGATCACCCCTCCTATATATACAAACAAACTGGTGATTTCCGCATTAAATTCAGAGCTGGTCGTTCAAAAATTATGATAAAAAATCAAGATCATAATGGCATCAGCTACTTGGAGAATTTTTTTTTTTTTTCAAAATTAAACGATAGTTTTTTCACAAAAAATATTTGAATGTAAAATATGGCATGTCAAACGTTGCAATATTCGATCTTTTCCATTTGTATTTCCATTTATGTTGTATATTTTGTATTCATATTCTTAATTTTCCATTTGTATTGTAAAATTATTCATTTGCATTGTATAATTTTTCATTTGTATTGTATAAATTTTATCTGGAGTGTATTATTTTCCATTTGTGTTCTATAATTTTCCATTTGGATTGTATAACATATATTTGTATTCTATATTTTCCATTTGTATTGTAAAAAGATTCATTTTATATTTTTTTATTTGTATTCTATATTTTATATTTGCACTGTAAAGAGCTAGGTTCACTTTATGCATAAAATGGCCCTGTCTTTATATCAATTAATTGACTATCACCCTCTATCCAATTTCATTTATCAAAATAAAGTAGAAACTTAATGCTTTCATTTCCTATGACAAAATTTCTTTTTGAGTATCCAGATATTGGAAAACAGGCTTTGAGAAAATGGAATGTTCTTGAATTTTGCAGAAAACATGCGTATTTGACTACCTTCAGCAAAGAATTAAAATATGAGCACAGCCCACGATCCAAAAATTAAAACATGTTTTGTGATCTTCAGAAACAGATCTTTCATTATGTAATTGCATATTTTGGATCAGAGGTTGTGCTCTATATGTTATATTGAAAAAATACCCCAACTTTTGGCCATTTGAAAGGGAATTTACAGGATATGGGAAAAATGACGCATTTTATGACGTCATAATGCGTTGAGAAAATTACGTTATGTTCAATGGATACACGTTCACCAAGGGTCCAAGTTATGAATACTGCATTTTCAACCAAAACTGAGCAGTTTCGATTTTTCAGAAATTCTCAGGGCCAAAAGGGGCCCTAAGTGGTTCTTGCTCTTTGTATTGTATAATTTCTTATTTGTATGCGATAATTTTTAATTTGTATTGTATCCCGGGGGATTGTTTATTTTTATCGTTACGAACGATTTCATTGAGCAAGTTTTAGTCTTTTTTGTGGTATAGTGTTCAAACAAGCGAAATGTTTCGGGTGAACTGGGTCCTCTATTTGCGTGGATGCTAAGGGAAGGTCATGTAATTCACAAGGGGGGGGGGGGGGACTGGCAAATCAGATTATTTTTTAATTTCATGCTCTTGCAGGGGAGAATATTTATGTCTAAGATCAAAGATGACCAGAGACAAGGTAAAGAAGAAGAAATAGAATGAAATCTGCCCAAACCTGAAAACTCGATTTCCTGGGGGAGGGAGTGGGGAATGTGGGGTTGGGGGGGGGGGGAGGTACCACCAGCAAGATCAAACAATTTATTTACTCAGACAACATTTCTAAGGACAGACTATTTATTTGCCATCTGCCAGCGCTCGATCCCTTTTCATCTAAATGGCCGTCTTCTAAGATGCACGCAAATAAATATTGGAGCCCAGATTGCTTGGAGCACCCGGAACATCTCGCTCATTTTCAACACGATACAGGCTAAATGTTAAAAAATGAAATCCTTCATAATGAAATAAATAAACAATCCCCGGACACAATACAAATGAAAAATTATCGAATGCAAACAAGAAATTTTACCATACAAGAAATTATACAATGCAAATGAGAAATTATACAATGCAAATGGAAAATATAGAATGCAAATGAAAAATTATACAATTCAAATGATTTTTTTTACAATACAAATGGAAAATATAGGATACAAATAAAAATTTATACAATTCAGATGAAAAATCATAGAATACAAATGGAAAATTATAAAATACAAATGGAAAATTATAGAATACAAATAAAAATTATACAATTCAAATTAAAAATTTATTCTCGCTGGCACTCAATAGATTAACGTATTTTTACATAATCAGTTTTGTTTACTGGATCCGGTGCAGAAGTCACCAAAGGGATGACGTCAAGTTGGGTACTACGTCATGATTACATTGGTAACATTGGGGTTCCGGTGAAAATAGTACATATATATATATATATATATATATATATATATATATATATATATATATATATATATATATATATATATATATATATATATCAAGATTTAGCAGTTGGAGTCGGGGGGACGAGTTGTAATAACACACGTTGAGAATTGAGAGAAACAAGTCAGAAAATGTAAATTTGGGCAACAGTTTCTATTAGACATCAAACATAACAACTAGTTAACAGTAATAAACAGTCTGTTGGGTGCCAGTCATTTTTTTTTATCCTCCCCCCCCCCCCTCACCCTATTTCGTTCCGTTTAAGTTCGTCCTGCATAATCAGATGGAAATATAACAAACCAACTAAGATTTATTGGTATTAAAATATATTTCATATTGTACCAATCTCTATAATATTCTCTCAAATAAATTAATTGAAACGTCAAAAGTTATTATTTTATTGACAACAGTACTACATTGAAAGTCTCGGGTACGTTACAATACAATACAAATAGAAAATTTTGCAATGCAAATGGAAAAGAATGAATATTGCCATTTTTTCAAGTCGAAGATGAAACATAGTATTTCACTTCCTTCAAAAAAAATTTTTTTCGATGTGTACCTCTACAAAATTACTTTATTTGTGTGTTTAATGTTTTGAAATTTG